AAGAAGATTGATCTGATAAAAGGAGCACCATTGAAACACTCGGCATCCATTACGAACGGGAATGCCGTGAACGATTTGCCGGCTCTCATGGAGCCGCATAGAATGGACGGAATACAATTATCAAGTGAATGCTTTACTCATCAATTATTCATCGATTGTATGTAATTTTGTAGATACGAGGGAAGGTAGCTGTTCATAATCCCTGGCCTAAGAATTTTGAAAGACTAAGCAGACATGGTCAAGAACCCGACAGGAGGCCTGTCGAGCAGCGAGAAGGAATAGTCGCAGCTTGGCCAGCGGACGAGTTGCAGTGCTATATTGTGTGGGACGTACTGGAATACAATCTCTTTAAATTGACGCTAAACCGCTACAGTACGCGTTGCGACTCGCCGCGCGATCAGTCTGCGTCTGTGCCTTCTCGACGAACAATGGGCCTCCTGTCGGGCACCCCACCTAGTCGCCAATCGCGACCGAATCATCGGTCCATGAAATTCCTAAACGGTTCGAGGCTGACTGAAGTCACGTAGACACTGCTGCCATTTTCAAAGGGAGAAGCTGACATAGCTCATCGTTTTCATAGAAGATGAGCACTGAGAGATCTGGGAACAAGCCTATTCCATTGCTCTCAAGGGCTTTAGCGCCACTGATTTCTTCGTCCTGACTACCATCAACCTTTCTTTCGATCTTCAGTTTCGGTTTAGTGGTTAATGACAGCATGACTTTCTTAAACAAAGGGACAAAAGTGCAACACATCAGCGCGCTGCATTTGCAGGCTTGTTGGGACGCTGAGGCGCGCTATTGCGTCGCACTAGTTTCGTCCCACTTTGCGCTCGGCTGCTTCCCAATTTATTGTGTTCTTCCACAGATCCCACTCAAACATATGCGTGAACAAAGCGACCCAGAAATCTGTTGAATTTTGCAAGGTGATGGATATCTATGTACATAACAAGTCATATTGATTAGTCCTTCTAGGTATCACGAATCAAGTAGCAGACGCTGGAACAAAGTCAACCATCGACGTTCTGGGCGCTACTACATTCGACCGGAAGAAGTTTGCTGAAGAGTTTCGAAAGAAGCTGCTTGCCTTGCCAGATGGCTATTCCAATACGTCCGCAATCGTCTTCCCGGAAACATTCAAAGCAAGAAAGCAACTTTTCACAATTCCTCCCTCATTGCTTTTTGGGAACACCACACCGGCGCCCACCGACGCAACAACAAAAGCTGTCTCCATCAAGAAGCCGTTCAAACAACCAATAATCAGTGAAGTATCCAAAAATGACATCGAAGCTTCTTCCCACGCATTCGACAGACCACGAAAAAAGCACTTCAACTGAAGTATCACCCACAACTGAAGACGTCCTGGTTGAAAATAAAACTGTGGGTCTTTTCAATGTTATCCCAACTGCAATATCAATCTTTGTTAAAAATATCATTTTGAGGATTCAATCACGCCTCGAGTACTGAAGGAGCCGAAGGACTTGTGCGATGAGCCCTTGAATCCGAAGCTTGAAGAGGACTGCAATAATGAAAATTGGGTACGTCCTTTTTTTACGTTCTTTTTTTTCTTTAAAATTCCGTTCGTCTTTCGCAGCATAAGGAGGACTTTCTCAATTTTTTGTGAACTTTAGAGGGAAAACGTGCATTTCTACCCTTTACTTTAGTATGTTTTGCGTGCATTTTTCTTGTGAAATAGTAATATTTATGACGAGGATACTAAAGGCGCTTACCTCATAACTTATGTGTTGCGGAGATACAGATGTGCTCATTATCAGAAGATCAGGCTGAAAGAAAGCGAAATTGGCGTTTTCATGAATTAAAGGCGAGTCCGTTACACCGGATGTATTCACTCTCTTCTGGCCACCTGAGTGGGTCCGGCTCTGACCGATTCCACCGGTTGCCCTGGTCTAATCTTGTGGCCGTCGACTCATGAGCCGTTTTAGCAGAGAGCAGGCAAAAGCGTTTTGTGGCGCCATACACGTTGCATAAGCCCCAATGACCAATCAACAGCCAAGACACTAGGGTCGCACTTTGCAGACGTTTCGTCCGTCAACAGGAATCTTCCACGGAAGAAAGCTCCGCCTTCATTACCACAGAAAACGATACCTTAAAGGAATCTTCCACGGAAAGAGTGATCATTTTGTCTTGTGTGTAGGATTAGTATTATCGAAACTAACGCTTATGTTCCGTTCTTTTTGCTATGCTCATGAGGCTAGGGGCCTAAGGGGTATCGTTTTTCTGTGGTAATGGAGGCGGAGCTTTTTCCGCGGAAGATTCCTTAAGGCGTTTACCGACAGCCCTTTTCCACTTCACTTTTTTTTACTTGGCTCTAAGTGGTAGGATAAGGCTGGCAAGGAAAAAGTTGTATGTCCAAGGAAGCGGCGAAACCTCACCACCATACAATGGTATAGTGTGTGGTTGATTGTTGAGAGTGGCACAAGCGATACATAAACAAAGGGAAGAAGGGAGATAATTAAAATATTTTCTAAATGCAATGAGTTGGGAATATAATTGCAATGATTACATAATTATTAGAAATTCATGAGAGCTGGCAAGATAACAACAATCTTTGTAGAATAATAAATAAATCTTTGAGAACCAAATATTCTAGGAGCTGAAGTGGTATTTCAATAAGGCACGAGGTGCATGCAAGTCGTTCTGGTATGGCGGATGTGAAACAACAGCAAGAAACTTTTTCGGTGATTTCAAGGTAATTGACAACATTAGGAAGAATTCGATGTTTCTAGGTTAAACGTACCACAGCTTTGAATGCGCACTGTTTAGAGCTGTCGGACAACATGCGGCCACAAATATCCAAATCCGGAAGAAGCCCTCAACCCGGCCAAATTTCGGCACCCACCAGTCGTACTCGAACCCTCTCCAACATCCGCAATAGCAACATCGTCTCCCCCTTCAGATGTCATGACGTCCTCTGACGTTCCAAATTCATTATTGATGACTACAGCAGTGACGCCTTCAGAATTCACTACCGACTTTGTGAGGAACGTGGACTCGGCTCCGCACACCGTACCCATACCAACTACGGAAGAAAGCGCCGCACACATGCCGTCGACTCAGTCGTCTACTCTTGAAGAAGTGATCATAGACATCTGTATTCAAGGCTACGATCCGAAATGGGACGAGGTGAACGATGTCTGAACTATAATATTTTATTTTGAAATTGCACTTGGCTTGCCCAAGTTCAAGCCATCATAGTTGCACTCAAAGGCAAAGTCCATGATAGAACTGGTGTTTTGTTTCGATTGAAGGTCCAGTGTGCGCCTGAAATGTAACGCCAGTAAAGAAAGGAAGAATCCGTCGACAAGAGCAGAAAGAAACCTCCTTTCCAAGGGCTCTAAAGGGATAGCATTGTTTAGAGGCGCGGCCCATGCCTGTGGGCGGAGCATAATAAGAATCAGTGGCCCACGAGTCGAGTGTTGAGTCGTGGCGCCAAGAGGGTACATTTTCTGCGCTTGCGTTGCACTCCATATTTCTTGCGTACGAGCTTCAGTTCATCCAGGAATCTTTGAACCTTGCCTCTAAAGAACTTTGTCTTTAGAACCATGTTCTACGACAAATTTGGTGGGCTAAATGCGCACCATAAGGAAGTAAGGGTGCGAATTGGACTCAAAGTGAAAAAAGAGCAAAAGCCTCGGCTTATATACTCCGAACAAGATGAACAATGAACAGCGTTCCCTCTTGGAATGGGTAATGACGCATTCTGAGGGGTTTTCGAAACTCTGGCTCAACGCCTGGAATAGCTGCGGCCACGCTTCCGCTTACCCCACCCAGCCTCCATTGCCGATGTCAGACTTTGCAAATCGCGCGATTCG